ATGTAATCAGTAGAGTGTCACTTGCAAATAACTTGGGGGACCTCACCATGCAAAGGGGATCCATCTTCAACTTGGACTCTTCATGGGATTTCTTCCATCATAGCGGCAAATAACTTTGGCAAGTATATAGTTTTATGTCTCACCTGGTTTTTATCAGAGAAATAACATGGTTATTTAAGTTTTATATTAGCATGGTTATGTTAAGTTTTTTCAAGGAATCTCAGGTGATTTTGATATGTGAATGGGAGACATGGTGTTGAGAAAGAGTCTGTATTTAGCTTTCCCAAATGAAGTATTTTTCCATAGTCAGTACTAAGCACAATGGGGTATTTAATTCTCTTCATCATTCAGTCAGTTGTGAAATGGTAAAGATGTGATCCATTGTCAAACACCATTTGTAAAAACTGTTTCCACTAATGCCTTCATAGAGAATACCCTCAGCTTGTGTAAATAGCTCATAAAGATTCTGTACATATAGGAGAGGAAGCATATAGGTTGGTAGTTTTTGATCTCTTGGTCACCTTTTTTTTTTTTTGGTAATAAGGTCTGAGGTTTCTTTGATATCTTCCCTTCAGATCCCTCAATACCTTCCCAAATAGTTTCCTCTCTTTAGTCTTTCTACCATCTTGATAAGCCCCTTAGATCTTGATATTAGGATGCAGGTGTGGCTGATGTAGAACATAATTTTTATAGATTTCTTCCATTTTTATTTGTTATCCTTTGACTTTCATCCTCAAATATCTTTCAAATGACTGTTTAGTTTGATGTTTTGCCAGACTTTCTTTAAACATCTTTTACCCTCTACTTCTTCTCTTTGCTTTTTGAGATAATATTTTTCATAATTGTCCTGCATCAGATTTTTGCAGACAAGTTTCTGTTCTAACCCAGTATCATCTTTGGTAGCCATCTCTGTCTGCTAATTAAGTCAGATGTTTGCAGACTAAGATGCTTACTGGACTCTTTCAGTCTTGTGGCAATTAATTTGCTTTGGTTTAACTTTTGGATAAATTTAATTTCTATTGTCCATTTCCCATTTTGATTGTTAATTACTTGTTTAAATCATTCAAGATTGAGTTGTTTAAATGTGTTCCATATCTATTTTTTCCTCTATTCTTTTATTAATTCTGATCTTAGCTCTGACAATTTAGACTGTATAGACAGCTAATTCAGGGATTACCCACACATTAGTAACATTTCCTGTCAGTTGAAATATAACCTATTTTGTTCTTTATGTTGTTGTTATTTGTTGTTGTTATGTCTAATGTATATCTATGTTCTATTTCCTTCTCTGAGCATAAATCAGTGACTAGTGATCCAGAAAAATTGACATTTCCAGCCTTGGTGGTTACCTCATAAATCAAAGACTTTGTGAATTCAAGAGCTGGACATCGTTTGGCCAGAGGAAGAAGATTTCACTAACAGCTTACCTCTCATGGATAGAGCACCAGCCCTGGAGTCAGGAGGACCTGAGTTCAAATCTGGCCTCAGATACTTGACACTTATTAGCTGTGTGACCCTGGGCAATTCACTTAACCCCATTGCCTAGCAAAAAAAAAAAAAGACAGTTTGCCTCTCAAAGGAGAAGCCAACTACTAAAGAAAGCCATCCCCTTGACGTCCTGGAGATCTGGAATTGGATAATGCCTACCATTTCTTTGCTGGAACAAAAGTGATATAGAAGTGTGAGGCTTCTGTATTTGACCCCTCTCATTCCTTCTTCCTCACCCATATTTTCCCTGACCAGGCCAAGTTTGAGTAGAGGAGGCAGCTTGCTTTAGTAGATAGAGGACTGACCTTCAAGTCAGGAAAACTTGGAGGCAAGTTTTGTCTTTGATACATACTAGGCATGTGACTGTGGGCAAATCATTTCTCAGTGCTCTAGGCGATTCTGTAGGACTGTAAGTTCCAGACTAGTTGTTGACATTTAGTGGAGAGAGTTTCTGCATTGGGAATTCCCTGTCCCAGCAAAATCCAGGTCTGAGACTCCCTTCCCCTCCTCCCAAGAATATATCTGAAACACTAAAAACATTCTTTCAAGTTTGAGGATATTGGGATGTGAAGCCAAAAAAGATCTTAAGAGATGATCTAGTGCAGTTTTTGAGGAGTTGAAAGGACAGAGAGGATAAGTGATTTCTCCAAGGTTACACAGCAGCATAGCTAGAACTAGAATCCATCTCTTTGGGTTCCAAATCTAGGGCCCTCTGCACGTTATCATGTCTCCCTCTCTCAAATTTCAGGGTCATCTATAATCAGTATCATTTTGCAGTATATACCTGGGTCTATTTTACTTTCAGAGATCTTGTTTTCAATTTAGACTGATCTGGCCTTTAAAGGAAGCCTGTTATTGTACTTTTCCCCCCCTAGTTTATGTTTTGTAAATTCACAATTTGTAAATCTCTGAAAATGGTACCTATATTTCAGTAAAGGTCTTTCATCATATATATTATGGCTCATACTATATAATAGGTTTGTTTATGGGGTATATGGGGCAGCTAGGTGGTGCAGTGGATAGAGCACTAGCCCTGAAATCAGGAGGAACTGAGTTCAAATCTGGCCTCAGAAACTTGACACTAGCTGTGTGACCCTAGGCAAGTCACTTAACCCCAACTGCTTCACAAAACAACAACAACAAAAACAAAAACCATCTGATTGTTATATGAGAAGTGGCAGGAACATCCCTGGGAAAGGTTGCTGGTAGAGAATACATGATGATGCTTCCAAGGGTATAGAATTAACAGATGCTTCAAATTTTTGTTGTTATTTGGTCATTTCAATCATGTCTCTTTGTGACCCCCCTTTGGGGTTTTCTTGGCAAAAATACGGGAGTGGTTTGCTATTCATTTCTCCAGCTTATTTTGCAGATGAGGATACTGAGGCAAACGGGGTTAAGGGACTTGCCCAGGGCCACGTGGCTAGTAAGTGTCTGAGGCTAGATTTGAACTGGAGTTCTTCCTGACTCCTGGACTAACGCTCCATTCACTGCACCATGTAGCTGCCCCTAAGTTTCAAGTTAAGGGATGTCTTTTTTTTTCTTTTTGGTATTGGACCTGTGATTATGTTGCTATAGTTTACTCCCAGTGAGGAAATTCTCTCCACCAAAGCAGATCGACATCTGGTCTGCTACTTAGTCATAGAAAATTGCCTGAGGGCACTGAGAGGGTAGGGGATTGCATTACCAGAATGTGTCAAAGTCAGGACTTGCTCAGGTCTTCCAGACTTGAGGCTAAATTCCCAGCCACTGTGCTCTTTCTTAGGGAGTGTTATTTCAAATCATTAGTGTTTATCCAAATCATTTTCCGTTTGACCTAAAATATTTTTGTGTTCTCTTAACTGTATTAAGAGCTATTAATTTGTCATAGCAGTAAAAATATGAAGTTGAATGTTTTGTCTAAAAGCACAGGTAGGATTTTGAGTGTAACTTTTGTGTTGATCAAAGATTTTTCCCTCCTCTAAAGGGAGAACATTTTCTTTTCACAGCAGCATGTTTTCTAGAACCTGAGAGCCTGAGTGTACAAATTTAACTGTCTGTCTCAGCAGCAGCCAACTGTAATGGGGACTGTCTGCTGAATAAACACCGAAAACTAGAGGAAATTCCAGCAGCGTCAGGAAAGATTTTGCTCATTAAAACAGTAGTTTCAAACCATCTGATTCATCTTTTTGTATGTGTGAGGCTTGGGTAATTTCTAAGCAATCTGAATGTACAAAAGGAAACAACTACATAAAAACAGAATTCCTCCAACAATGTGAGGTGAATTCCAAGTCTGCTGGGCAAAATATCTATTCTCTTGACAATTGAATGGAATTTCTCCTACATGTTTAACAGGAAGACATTGAAACATGGAGAAACAGGAAAAAAAAAGTTTGTGTATGTTGTTATCTTGTTACCTTTTTAGGTTACATACAACAACTTAGACATAACAATCATCCTCTCTTTCTGAATAGGTTCATTCCTTGGTCAATGGGATAAAATTAATTTTCTAATGTTTTGAAAAGTTTGTATCACTTAATAGCTTTAATTTGAAAATTGGTAAAAAAAATAAGATAATTCTTTGGAATAGTCTGGTGGTGAATATATGAAGTTTAGAAAAGATATCACCTAAAAGATGAAGAATATTCAAAGTAAGGTGGGTAATGGTCTTGGAGTCTGGAAAGGTCTGGGTGCCATATTTTAGGAAGTGTAAGGGTCATCTGGATGACCTAGGGTCTGAATCCATCTACTCTCCTGGTCTCTAATGCTTTAATAGCTAGCATTTATACAGAATCTGGAAATAGGAAAACCCACATAACCTGGCACATGCATTTCCGTTAGATATGGATTAAGTTACCAAGGAACTTAGACAGAACCATAAAACCTTCATGTTCCTAATATTGACAGATCAGGGTCTAACTGTGGCAGCAGGATATGGGTTACAGCTGTCCCTTGGGCAAGTTATTTTATAGTGGTATTCTCCGCTGTCTTAGTGGGCCATGGGGATCTGTCTCAGTCCTGGTGTCTCTTTATTCTTCAGCCCAGGATGACACACAGATCCTTGAATGTGATATCAAAGTTGATGGAGGGCTAGGGGGTGTTGGCCTACACTGCCTTTATTGATGCAGTAAGAGAGTGTGTCCCAGTGGGTCGTTTGGTCTTAAAGGGGGGCATACTCTAAGGTAATAACCTGCCCTCTCTGGGAAAGGGGACTCTAGCAGCTTATCTGTCTAGGCAGGTATGAGGAGACCCTGTCTTCCTCTGGATACTCCTGGAGTGTCCTCTAATCCTCCATAACTGTAGGCCAGTTCTTCTAAGGCAAGGGTTCTTAACCTGGAGTTCATGACCTTGTGCATTTTAAAAAACATGTATTTTGATAACTGTATTTTTTTTTTTTGGTGAGGCAATTGGGATTAAGTGACTTGCCCAGAGTCACACAGCTAGTGTTTTGTGGATTTGAACTCAGGTTCTCCTGACTCCAGGGACTATGCTCTATCCACTGCGCTGCCTAGCTGCCCCGATAACTGTGTTTTGAAAGACTTGATTTACGCTCTTAGGTATTTCATTTTATGCACTTAAAAGCATTATTTTGAGAAGAGGTTCCTAGATTTCCCCAGACTGCCAGAAGGGCCCATAAAACACCCAAAAAAGTGTTCTTTTTTCTGTTCTAGGGGCCCCTCAGAGTAAAGGTGGGAAGTCAAGGTACTGTCGTGCATACCTGAGTTCCCAGAAAAGCCAAACTCCAAGGAGCAGGGGAGGAAGAAATTGGAGGTTTGTCTAAGGTTGTTCATGGCTTACTCATTTCCTTAGCACAGTGTCTGTCTAAATCAACTTGTTAACATTTTTTTTTCCTGAAAGACTTGTTAGCCTAAATGAGGCAGACACCTTCTTCCCACCCCTCTTTCCTTACTCTCCACTTCTCCCCTTAAACATAATTCACCATCTTAGGTTCACCCTCAGATTGAGTGGTTTTTCTCAGCCTCTTTCGGGGCTCCTATGCTATCCCTGCTTGCCTTACAGGTGGGGGAGCAGAGTATAGCCAATTGCCCCAGCTGCAAAGGAGCAAATAAGTGCAAGAGGGGTAACCGGGAATGTGGGGTGATGGGAAGGTGGTAGGACTAAGTAGACTAGACTGTAAGCCATATACTGAAATCTAGGTACAGAGTGGCTGGTTACAGGGGGCACATAACCTTAGCTCAGGAAGGCTAAAACCCAAACACAGATGTTTGGTTAACAAGAGTCAGAATTTAGGCACAGGAGCAAGATTGTTGGCAATGTCATTGTTTTAGAAGACACAAGGGGGTTTTTTTGGTTTTGTTTTGTTTTGTTTTTAACATTGCCAGTCTGGAGCCCAAGTTAGGGTATACATGGGCATGAGCCCATAGGACAAGCTAGCAGGTGCACTTGTCTTGAGATGAAAAGCCAGGCAGATTCTTTGTGTCAGAAACAGGTGTTCTAGGGAGGGGTAGCATAGAAAGAGTACAGAACTTGGAAGTCCGAGGACCTGGCTTCGAGTGTCTGTCTCCAACATTAACTACAGTGGCTCTGTAAAGGACTTTGCTATTTCTTTACTGGCTCTTATCCAGGCCAGCTACAGCTTATCTACACCCATGCCCACACCAGCTATAACTTTGATTTTAGAAAGACCTAGATTCAAATCTCACCTCTGACACATACTGGCTATATTTCCCTGGGCAAGTAAGTTAGGCTGCTAGGTGTCTCAGTCAGTAGAGAACTAGACTTGGAATAAGGAGGATCTGAGTTAGAATTCTGCCTCATACTTATAGCTGTGAGATCCTGGGCTAAGTCATCCTCTGCCTCAGTTTCCTCATCTGTAAAATGGGGAGAATAATAGCACCTACCTTGTGGGATTGTTGTGAGGATCCCTACTAAAGCTTATTATTATTATTATTATTATTATTATTAATTATTATTATTGTAACCTCAACTTAGGCAACCAAGTACTCAAGATAACTCTCAGACGAAGCTGAAGAGAAAGTGCTGACCTACATTGATAGAGTTCCCTGTACCATTATAATCACAGGATCAGTCTCTAACCCCATCCTACCCTTCATCTGGCCCACTTAGCTTCTTCCCTTTGGCAATGCTCTCCTACTCATTTCTCTCCTTTCTGAGCCTGAATACAAGTTAGGCCCCTCTATTCCCCTCTCTTCCCTCCCCCACCCCCACCCCTTTCTCTCTTGTTTAAGACCTTGATCTTGGAGATCCAGAGCCCATTCTCAATGTGTTCATTTCCTTCCTTGCCAATCATGGTCTTGCACATCATTAAATGTCATCTATTTGCAAGTCTCATTTGATTAAAAAGACTACACTCATGCCTGCTCCATTTCTGTGGTTCACGGTGGCTGTAGTATGGGTATTTGCTTATCAATCACAGTCATCTGCTCACAGTGCAGAGAAATTGGAGGGGATGTTGCTTGAGACATCCCATATAATCTATATGTATCTTGTATATAGTTATTTACTAGTTATTTACATCTAGTTTTTATTCATGTCTAGTTATTTATATCTTGTCTCCTTTATTAGAATGTGAACTCTTTGAGGGCAAAGGCCATTTTTGCCTTTCTTTGTATCCCCAGCCCTCAGCACAGTGCTGAGATCATAGTAATGAATGCTTGATATATCACATTCGTTTCTACCCTTGTCTAGGCTCCGTTGTTGTGCAGTCATTTTTCAGTCATGTGTGACTCTTCCTTACCCCATTTGGGGTTTCCTTGACAGAGACACTGGCATCATCTTTGCTCATTTTGCAGTTGAGGAAACTGAAGCAAACAGGATTAAGTGATTTTCCCAGGGTCACACAGTCAGTAAGTGTCTGAGGCTAAATTTGAACTCCATGCCCGGTATTTTATCCACTGTGCCACCTAGCTGCTCCACTGAGCTCCAAAATTACTTCTTGGGAGAGGAGCTCCAAGCATTTTTGTCATCTTCACAACCCTATTAGCCTATTTAGATGATTCACTTCCTCACCTAGTAATTTATATAAATAAGGTGCAGTTATTTCCTACCTATTCTCTTTGCCTCTAGTCTCTCTTCTGACCCATCCTTTACTGTACTGTTTGGCTAATCTTTCTTAAAACATCGTTGTGTAACACCTTCACTCCACCCCAAGACTTTAACGGGCTCCCTGTTGCCCTCCAACATCCAGACTCTAGCTTGACATTCAATGCTTCTATCATCTGTGACCTATTGGCATTTTTAGTCAAGAAATTCCACTTACTTCCCATTAGGTACAACACTGTAGCCAGACTGCCCTTTTTTGGACACTTAGCCCATGCTTTCCCACCTCTGTATCTTAAGGTTCCATTTGTTTTCTCCTGGTATGTATTTACCTCCTCAACTCTGCCTATTAAAATCCTACTCATTGGTTAGGACCCAGTTAGTGGCAAGTGGAAGGAATTCTGGGGCTGGAGTCAGGAAGACCTTTGTTCAAATCTGGCTTCAGATACTAGCTGTGTGACCCTGGGCAATACTGTTTGCCTCAGTTTCCTCATCTGTAAAATGGAGGTAACAATTGCCCCCACCTCCCAGGGTTGTTGTGAAGATCAAATGAGATAATATTTATAAAGTGCTTAGCACAATGCCTAGCAAATAGTAGGTTCTGGCTATTACTCTTACCCCAAATGCTACCTCCTCCATCAAGTCTTCCCTGAAAACCCCAGCTAGAAAAAAATTCTCCCTCCTTTGAATTCTTTCTTATTATACTTTGTTTCTGTCTTCATGTCACTAATCCTGCCTTAGGCGATGGGATTTACTGAGTTTTGTGTGCATCTTTAATGTCTCCTACTAGATGAAAAACTCCTTGAGGGTGAGACCAATGCCACTGTCCTCCAATCTGCAATCAAAAAATTACCCTCTACACACAGTGGGTACAATTAGGTTGTAAATTCCTCTATTGAATGGTCACTTCTCAGGAATGTTTTAGAGGGGATGCTAATTCAGGTGTGGGTTAAGACTAAATGACTTTTGAGATCCTCTTCCCGTCCTGAGATCCCCTAGATTGATTGAAGACAAAAACAATTGATTATTCACCTTGTTTCTCCAGGACCTACCTCAGAGCCCTGAGCATACATCGAAGGTGCTTAATAAATATTTGCAGAATTGAACTAATAAATGGTTATTTATTGAATAAATGGTTAATTGACATGTGAGCTGCAGTTCGTTGCCATGCATAAGATAAATTATGCAGCTCAAGCAGAAAATGTTCCCCAATGCTAGACAAACTGCCTTTTATGAATTACAGTTGAAATAGAAATTCACATGGCCAACCAGAAAACCTCACTTTAATAACAAACTTTGTAAGACTATCACCACAAGGTGGCAGTATATTCACAAGATCCAAAGCCCTTTTCCTGCATTCTTTCCCTAGTTCTAATTAGTATTCCCTAGTAGCACTGAGAGCTTTGTTAGAAGCGATCTCTGTATTCGTTCATTCATTTAATCAATGAACATTTATTGGACCACCACCTTGTGGAAGAAGGCTTGTGCTAGGCACTGAGCGTGTGTGCGAAAGGTCTTGTTACTATAGAATAAGTGAACAACGTGAAAGCTAAATATTTTAGGAAAGATCTTACTTACAAGATACTCTATCACCTGCAGAGACATGCTAAGGCTTCTTTCAGGGAAAGGAGATTGTTGTTGTTGTTGTTGTTGAGTCATTTCAGTCGTGTCTGACTCTCCAGGAGCCCATTTGGGGTTTTCTGGAGTGGTTTGCCATTTCCTTCTCCAGCTCATTTTACAAATGAGGAAACTGAGGCAAACAGGGTGAGGTGACTGGCCCAAGGTAACACAGTTAGTAAGTGTCTGAGGTCACATTTGAACTCGGGTCTTTCTGACTCCAGGGCTGGCTCTATCCACTGTGCAAAAGGTCCAATCTCATTGGGAATTCAAAGTAAATAAACACATAAGTAAAAGAGTTTGGAGATACAATACTTGCCATAAAGGAGGATCAGAAGGGGGTGACCTATGTAAGAAAAAGAGGTAGTAAAATAAAAAGAACTTAAGTAATTTTATTTTGTTTTTCTCAGACTCTAAAAATTCTCCCCAAAAAGGAGCTGCTTAGCACTGCTCAAAGGTTACAAAATACCTGGACTATACTTTAGGGAATTTAAGAGACTTGCCCATAATAAACCTCACCCACTAATTTACCATTGGTTATCCCTTCAGGATAGACTGAGTCAAAATTTACCTTCCCAATAATTTTTCTTCAGGTCTAGACCTGCAGTTTCATGGTTCTTCTGATGTGAAAACTTCTTCCAATCATCCTCTAGGATCTATCCAACATGGCATCTTGCCATCTATTTCCACCCTCTTTTCAGCTTTTGCTCTTGGAACAATAATCAAATTAATATTACTAAATTTTGCTATAGACAAAACTAGAAGAAAGATGGGAGGATGACCCACGGGTATTGCTTGAAGAGGCAAAGAAAGGAGTTGACAGAATATATTTTGGCATATACTCAGAGTCATTCAGTCAATAAGAAACATTACTTAATGGGATATTTGGTCATCATATATTGCAGTACTAATGATAAAGTAATTAGCTCACATAAGGCAAGCACTCACACGGTGGTCAGAAGAAGCAATTCAAGGACACTCTTAAAGTCTTTCTGAAGAGCTTTGGAATCGATTGTGAGACATGGGAGACACTGCCACAGGCCCACCCAGCATGGCGCACCCACATCAAAGAAGGTGCTGTGCTCTATGAGCAAAGCAGAATTGCAGTAGCACAAGAGAAATGTGAGATGTGCACATTCAGAGACATCTCCACTCCAAATGTTCATGTGGACTATTTGTGCCATATCTGTAGTAGAGCCTTCCAAGCTTGTATCAGTGTGATCAACCATAATTGGACACATTGTAACGTTGGCCTCGACATGGTGATGTCATTTTGATCCTCTTTGAGTAGGAAATACAACTTACTAATGACAACTATTTGCAAAAGGGCTACTATGAAAATAATTACAGTTCATGTACCAACAGCAAGTACTAAAGATGAAGTGGCAGAGAAATTCTGTGATTGATAAGACCAAATTAAATCAACATATATTCTGGTACTTGGTGACTTCAATGCAAACATGGGCAAAGGTGAGTATGGAGAGAAATATATGGGAAAGTATGGTTTAGCAAGAAGGAATGAAGCCAAAGACCTGTAGGTTGCACAGAAGCTTCATGTCTCTAAATCATAAACATTTGAGAAAAGTATTGGTAGAAGCTGGGCATGGGGAGCGCCAAAAAGAACAAAATGTATTATTACATTTTAAAAGACAGAAAATGTTATTGATGTGGGAGTAATTCCTGAGTCAGCTGTCTGTACAGTCAGACCACCAACTTGTTAGAGCTAAGATTTGAATTAGTGAAAAGTAAACATTTTAATGAGAAAAACACAGGGCTTATAATTGAAACACCTTAATTATCTAGTATCTTAACAATTAATTGACAATCAAAATGGGAAATGGACAACAGAAATGACAGCAATTGACAGCAATTATTACAGTTTTATCTGGTAGTTTAGCCAATGTAAACTAATTGCCACAACAAGGAGACCAAAAGTGCCCAGAAAGAGCCTTAGTCAGCAAATATTTGACTGGCGAAATAAGAGAGAGAGGTGCCAAAGACAACAGTGGGTTCATGTAAACTTGTCTACAAAGTATCATGAAGAGAGATGGACAATAGAGCAGCAGCATCTCATAAGGCACTGAGAAGCAGCAGGATGGTGAAACCAGTTTATAGAAAATTTAGCAAGACATCCAAGTGATCAAGCCATCCCAAAGGCGTTCAAGGAGGAAAATGTAAGGAGAATAATAAACAGAAGAAGAGTGGAAGAGATTTGTAAATCTATTTTAACAGTGTTTTCTCTAACAAGGACAGAGGCATCACCATCCTCTAACATCACGGTCTTGTATGTGTTTATATACAAGGTGGAGATGGCACTGAAGAGGACAAAGATGGGAAAATCAGCCAGATTGGACTTTGTGGAGGTTAGTGCTGAAAATAATACAATTGTGAAGAAATTGAGAGACATTCAGATAGAAGATGTCGAAAGGAAGGAAAGATGTCAATGTTGTGGAAAAGATATCAGACCTTATTAAAACCCCTAAAAGGGGACTGACAGTACCAATAAATACCCACATTTATGCTTCCTTTCCTGTATATTTTGCTGGGTCATTTCAGTTATGTCCGATTCTTTGTGACCTCATTTGGGGTTTTCTTGGCAAAGATACTGGAGTAGTTTGCCATTTCCTTCTCCAGTTCATTTTACAGATGAGAAAACTATGGCAAACTAAGTGACTTGTCCAGGGTTACAAAGCTAGTAAGTGTCTGAGGCCAGATATGAATTCAGGAAGATGAGTCTTCCTGACGCCATGCCTGGGCATTCTGTTCACTATGGTGCCCCCTAACCACCCCTTCCTGTACATATATATACAGGTATATATCTGTGTATGTATATGCATATATATATATATGTGTATACACACATACACAATCTTTATGAGAGTCACATATACATAAATCTAGGGCCTCCTCAATGAGGGCATTAGTAGGAAAAGAAGTAGGCTCTGGCAAGTGATATTCAACAACGGACCACATTTTTACCATCTCATAATTGACTGAAAGACGTAGAGAATATAAGATCCCAGTGTGCTTGTTATTTATTAATTGTGAAAAAGCATTTGATTTGTAGAGGAGGAAGTATTTGAGCTGAGTTTTTAAAAAAGTGACTATGTCAAGACAACCCTGAAGTTTCACTTCATACGCAGAAGTTTGGCAGTGTCCTCCCTGAAATTCATCTCAGCAGGTCCATCCAATTTGAGGGAACCTCCCTCACTTTCTCAATATACATTGCCTTATATGCCCTTTCTCAATAAGGCATCTCCCATCCATATAGCAAAATCATTCCGGATTCCTTAGGAGATGTAACAACAGAAATAGCTCTGTTCCATGACCCTCTAATAATAAAAATCAGCAAAAGGCATATGATAGGGAGATGTATGCTTGCCAAAAAACATCTTCTGTTGTGATGGAAGAGATTCGGCAGAGGGTCTTGCATGAAGAAGGTTTCCCTGTGGATAATGAACATTGCAGAACCTCTAGAAGAGATGTTTAATCACTCAAAGGAGTTTTGCCTGATCACCCACATGGGAGAGTCCAAGCCATGAGGAATGACTATTGTCTAGGTTTCACCATGCATTTAGATGGACAGCATATAGAGTGCTCCAACAGTATGTATATCTGAGACAGACAGTTCAGATGGACAATTTGGGCCCAGATTTAACAGAAGGAGAACAAGCTGAATTGCTTTCAGGTAGTTGCAAAACTTCTTTGCTGACTTCATGCTTCCCATGAAAGCAGAGGCCCATTTAAAAAAATCCTAACATTTCACCAGATATTAGTATACAGCAACAAGACATTATACAACTAACTACCTCTGAAAACTAAAAATAAATACCACCCAGAGTGTACTGGAGAGGCATGTGGTGGGTTATGAGCAGATTATAACATATAACCAATGAGGAGCTCTGAAGAAAAGGGGGAAACCATATCTCAAAGATTAATATCAGAGGAAAATAAGCTGGGCTGGCCATGTAGCAAGAATTAGGAATGACAGCGGGATAGCCGAGGTACCACTGGTACCTTGAAACAGCAAGAGAAAGTGAGGGAGGTTCTCCCAAATCGGATGGACCTGATGGGATGAATTTAGGGGAGGACACTGCCAAACTGCTGTGTATGAAGTGAAGCTTCAGAGTTGTCTTCACATGTTCATTTTTAAAAACTCAGCTCAAATGCCTCCTCCTCCTCCAGAAAGCCTTCCCTGATCCCTAAATCCATGCCCCCATCAGGAATGATCTTTCCCTTCTCAAACCTGGAATAATGCTTGTGTACCTTTTATTTACTAATTGACTGACTAATGCTGTGTTCTGTATAGTAGGTATCAAAAAGATGAATGAAAGTACTGAGAAGTCTGGTTGGGGAGCCATACTCCAGCAGAACTAAATTTCATTTTTTTATGGTAAGATAAATCACGTCTCATTTGTCTACCTTGTGGCTTGGTCCTGTGGAAATTGCTTGATTTTCAAAAACCCTGAAAATAATCAGTTAAGGCTCCCAAAGGTCCATATTCTTCCTATCTTCCAGTTTAATTTTTTTAAACCAGTGACCACTGAGGACCTAGGAATAAGGTATCAATAATTAAAACCTACTGCTTCTTCTGGCACCCCTAAGAAGTCTGCAAACAAGCCCCACCCAGTAACTCCTCTGGAATGCCTACAAAGGGGATACGCTTTGATAATCTGACTTCTTGCCCTGCTCTTAAGCTCAAAGACTCAGACCGCTGGTAGCAGGTGGCTCTAGCCACAACCAGCCATCCACAGCTCCTCACACCTGAATACAACTGGTTAAGCCTGACTCCCCACCCCACCACCTTGTGATTTGGGGGTTATTGCTGCTGTTTCAAGACTGCTCAAGTTTATTGCGGCTGCCTGCCAACACTGTCCTAGAGACAGTCTGGGACTAAGTGAGTTTAGCACACAACTGTCCAACACTTGCTTGTCTACATTTACTGTCCATGTTGAAAAACAGCCTTTTAGTCATCACACAAGCTAAACCAGCTGTCAGCAGCAGGGTTTGCTCACTGGCCATTTCACTGGAGTTATAAGAAAGGCAGGAATATTGTCACTGCAACACTAACAACTGAGAATTAGCTCTTTCACTTTTCTACTTGCATTCAACAAATAGGCACCTACTATATACAGAGCACAGCATCTCAGTAAATGAGAGATGCACAAGTGCTATTACACCCCTGAGAAAGGAAAAATTATTCCTGACACAGTTTGATCAGAGGAGGCTAACTGGAAGAAAACAACATTTGATCTGTTTTCAAAGATGGATGGGTCAAAATTACCCAGAGGTTTCACCTCATACCAAGCAGTTTGGCCAAGATGACCAAAGATGGGCATAGTCAATATTTGAGGGGTTGTGGACCGACAAGGCCCAGGATATGCCATTGGTGGAGCTGTGAATTGATCAACCCTTCTGGGAAATTGTTTGTGCTGAGAAAATCTCAAAAATTTCCATACGCTTTGACCCAGAGGTCCTCATACACTGAGGAGGTCAAAGGTAGAAAGTTAAGAAAATGTAACAGGAATTGATTTATTAAATAGGTCAATACTATTGTTTCTGTATATCTCATATGTTTATACCAAGGAGGCATAAGGAAGTGAAGGCTGAATTGTCACTGAAAACCAGTCACAGACATACATTAGAGAAGAATATTCTCAGAATTCAGACATCAGCCCAAATGTAGAGATGATATTAACACATAATTATGAAAAGATACTTGGGGACTCATTTTCTTTCAAAATAAAGTCCCAAACCCAACATATCTATGAAGTTCACAGGCAAGTGATCATCATCCTCATTTTGCAAACGGAGAACTGAAATCATCAATAACAAAGGGGAATTAGAATGCTGATCTCCTGACTCTTTGATAGATTCTGGGTTGTTTTTGATTTTTACAGTTTTATATTGCCTAGGAAAGGCAGCATTATATAATGGAAACCAGCCTTGGAGTCAACAAGACATGGCTTAATAGCCAGTTCCTGTCACATACTAGCTGTGTGACCAGGGACAAGTTAGTTAATTGCTCAGTGCCCCAGGCACTTGTCATCTAAGATTAATCACAGAGGAGTAGCCAATAGGCAACAAAAGAGGAAGTATCCATACCCGGAGTTCCTCATCTAGGTGAACTAATAGGATTATCCCCAAATATACTGTAAATATGTGTATTAAAGTATATTTTGGGCTTCCTTCACTGTTGCCAGAATGTTGGGCTTTGTACTTTATTTTACATATATATGGTATATGTAATAAAGCCCCAAACTTACATATTATATATATTGTATATTATATATTATGTATTTATATATGCATCTATACATGTATGTGTATGTACAACATGCATACATACACATATGTGCACATACACATACATATACACTCGTGTATATATAAAATAAAGTCCAAAGCCCAACATTCTGGCTACAGTGGAAGAAGCCCAAAATATACTATAAGTGCAATGCTTTCTCTCTCTCTCTCTCTCCTATATATGTATGTGTGTGTGTATATGTGTGTGTGTGTATTATGTAGTATACATATGTGTGTGTATATATTCTCCCTCTCTTTCTCTGTGTATATATATGTATTCTCTTCTAGGATGTTATATTTAGAGTTAAAGGGGACCTTATAAGGTCATCTAGCCCTTGGTTAGTTTGCTTCTATTGAAAATGCACTATTATTTGGTGCAGGGGTTTTAAAGCAAAACTAGTCTAATAATTTCTGGTCTTTGAAAGACTTCAGGAGTTTTGCAATTCAAGTGCCTCCAATGATCCGATGGCAGATTGTACCTGCAAGTGAAATACTGATTCTGCTGGACCTTTGTTGGTATAAATGCTATAGCAACTCTCATTGTTTAAACATGGGGCCATCAACCACTGTTCATGTTTGGCGAACATTAAAATACATTACAGGCTCTCTTGCTGCCTTGCTCAGAAAAAAGGCCTACTGGTTATTTGCTAGTTAGAATAAGGGTAATTTGATACTCACTTCAACCAATGTAGATTTTTCTGTTTGTAATCAGGTCATAAGGTCCCAAGGTTGTTTTGAACAAACACTGGTTACTTAGCTGGTGACTCAGGGTCTTGGCAATATATAATGTCAATGTCTGAGTCACCCAAGTTCATCCTGGAGCATGATGATTGAAGACAATATATTTTTAAAAAACCGTGTCTAGTTTAAAAAAATACACTTAGACCTTTTAGAATAGGTTAATAAGTTCATAGAATTAGAATTAGAACTGAAAGAGACTTTAGAGGTTATCTAATTTAACCCCTTCACTTTATAGATAAGGAAACTAAGGCTGCAAAAGGTTAGATAATTTGCCCATGGTCACACAGAGAGCAAATGGCAGAGGTAGGATTCAAATCCAGGCCATGTTGCTCCAAATTCAGTGGTCTTTCCATAGTAGCACACTATCTGGGTTTGGGGTCTACTTAGAAAGGAGTCAAGATTAGATCTGGGGTCTCTAATTTTCATATTTTTTAGAAAACATTGAGTGACTTGGGAAGGGAGTACAGAGGATTCTTAT